TTTCATTCGTATTATGTTTCCTTTTCTTTTCTTTTTTTCTTATTTTTATGTACTGTTAGGATCTTTTAAAGATCACAGTTATTGCATAATATAAAAAAAAAAAGAAAAAGACTGCAAATGATTCATCGTCAAGCATTTTTCTGAGTACTACATGAAATGATCATGTACAATACCATATCGTATAGAGCCAAATCATCTCAATTCTAAAGGTTTATGACGTTCTGAAGTCTTTATGTCTTTTCAGACTCTTATGGGTGATGCAGGCGGATATTTAAATAATTGTTTGATTCATCTTTTCGCTCGAGAGTACCGTATGAGCGCTTCAAGCAAAATCGACAGTTTAGTTTAATGATCCTCAGCAGATCAATACCTATTGTCATCATTTAGTCTTTAACTGTACCTATGTAATTATCATAATTATTTATATTTTCATCGGTCTTTCGTGTGATTATGGTGGCTGCATTAGTTGTTCAGAGGTATAGGCAATTTTATTGCAGTATCTCTTTTTAGTAATTATATTATTCCAATTGATTTCTCAACGAAATGAATGCACTAATACTAATTGAAAATAATTATTCGATAAATGTGGTCATGAAAAAACTGTCTTGAGCGTATCACATTCTTTTTCTTTATATCGAGTTTAAACATTACTTCTATAAAACAAGAAAACCGTTTGTTCAATTTTTATCTTTCATATTGTGATCTCAAACAACGCAAAATTGTCACAAATAATCTTTCCACGTCGTAATGGACAATGCAAAAAAACTGTATTTTACTAATATTAGTGGCATATTCCCATGAGATCATCTACTGATGAATACATTTATTTCAATCTTATCTTGAAATCATATCGTATTGGTCGAATAAACAGTGAAATAATCGTAAGATTATAACAAATGTGACCAAATATCGTTTTCTTCGAACTAATTTTAATCTTAAGAATGTCTTTATCAATCGTAATTTGTATAGTTGAGCTTTTTTTGGAAATCATTCATAAACATCGTCTTGTGAACGGACAAAAATTAATATTAATGAAGTTTCTTTCTGAATTTCAACTGTATCTAAAACTTATTATGATTGTGAGTCAACTAAAGTCTGCATTCAAGCGATGGAAAGCAACTCCTACACAGAACTATAACAAATCGTATCCATGCAGCACGATGAGATTTTTGACTTCTGATTTCTTACAAACAAATGTTTAAAACAGATGAAAACAACATTAAACAGCTGTCATAGTGGTGCTCTAAACATGTTTCTTTTCGATCATCTCTCCTTCACCTTTGAAATTGAAGAATCACACCGATTATTTACTTCTTAGGCAAGTCAATATCTATTGACTTTTCTTACTTCACAAGTCATTAATTGGGCTATAGATATTTATAATCACAATCAAAGAAATTGAATTTTGTTTTACAAGGTTACAAAATGATTCAGTGTTGAAATCTGACTAACAAACATATTTAGAGTATGCTTCCTCTAAAAAAAAAGTTCATCTGACACTTTTGGCTTAATGGGGATTAATCATAATAAGATTGTTCGAATTCATTTATCTAATTATTCTTCGAACTCAGTTCTTTATGTGAATACTGTCATCTGCATAAAATAAAAAGTGAAATCTAATTCGAATGATTCATATCTTTGTCGCAGCTCTTCTCTTACAACTTATCTTTTTTTCTGTCACTACTCTATAGAAATATTCCTAAATCAAGAGGCGAGCAATATCGAACTCTCGTGTTTGAACCACTTGATCTGAATGAATGGAAGTAATATCCGAACTGTTAATGAGAAAGAAGATAACAGTGAATGACGAAATAAAATAGTATAATTGTGTAACCATCATACAGAAGTATAAAATATATTGTCACTTAACATTAAAAATCATATGTGATATGATGTCCTCACTTGTCTATCCCGACTGTCCGACTGGAAACGGTCGTCAAATCACACTTGCTGGTGTAGACATGGTATTGGGAGCTATCGATAACGTCTTTGTCTATCCTTTTCTCGATATTAATCAACTAAAACATGCAATCAGCCGCACAATTTCTCGTTGGCCAATTGTCGCTGGTCGTCTTCATATCACCGACAATGAACATTACTTGATTGAACTGTCGGACAATCCTATTCCATTCACTTATATTGAAAATGAAGAACTTGAACGATGGCCTATTCTGCCTGTTGTGGTTGACGATCAGACAATCCTTCAACCGTTTGTCGATTCGGTGCCGAGCGAGCCTACTCAAGACGATCCACTTGTTCGATTCAAAGTCACTTGTCTGATTCGTAGTAGTGAATACGTACTTGGTGTTTCTTTCTATCATATGATTGGCGATGCAGATTCCAATATTCATTTTCTGAACGACCTTTCTTGTCTCTATCAAAACCTTGAACCTCTATCACCGGGACCCATCTTCGAACGACATTTGTGGATCAAAAAAGATGCTAATCTTACTGTCGACTGTTGTCTCATGCCCCTCTTGAAACAATTGCAAGATGCTCGTAAGAGAGACATTGTCATAGCAGATGTTCTTCAAGAGTCCGCAACGACGGATCCATTTCACATGTCATTTTCTTCGAAACAGCTAACAAAACTACGTAGTCTAGCTGCACAAAGTAGTGAAGATATCACAATTCAAGATGCGCTTACAGCCTATATCATTGTTACATTTAACAAACATGTCTTTATCTCGGACAAGGAATATATCCGACGAACGAATACTCTAATTAATTATCGTGGTATATCTGATACATTGGCTCCTCATGGTCAAGTTGACAATTCTATTATGTTCATGTTATCTGATGATTTTGCTGATCCACTTTCATTATCGAATGTTGCCAAAACAATACGAGCATCGGTTGAAAAAGCTCGCAACGAAAATTTTCTCTCACGATGGCTTGTGACAGTCGACTTGCTAATGAGAAAAATACACAAAGAGGATCAAGCGTGGAATTTTGCGTCCTATGCAAATGAAGTTTGGACTAATTCAAATTTAAAATATGACTGGGCTAGCAAAGTTGATTTTGGTATGACAGATCAATGTCGATTTCATACAGCTGGCTCAATGAAATTCAAGTTTCGTGTTTTTCAATTGAATCCTGTACAGGGTGCAGATGGTAGCTGGACTAGAGATCATGGAGGTGCTGAGGTGTCTTTTCGAATCCCAAAAAACGATATAAAGAATAAGTTTATTGTAGCATGGAATAATGATGTGAAAGAGAATTTTAAGAATGTCGAATAAAAATAAGATGTAGAACCAATGGTGTAGCCAGGAATTTTTGAGTAGTGGGCAATAATCCAGCATCTCTATTTTGAGAGGTAGGCAGCAATGGACAATTCAAAAATCCATTGGACAAAAATTTTTACAATCTTATGGCTATTATAAAAGCCAATGTTTATTGACGAGAAATTCATCAAGCTCAATTAACAGGCGAGCATGCTCACTCGCTTTCTTTGTACTGTTTCACAAATGTACTGTTCGACTTTCAAAAAATACATTATTTTATATAAAAAAAAAATGGAAATGAGCATAAATAGAAACACTATAATGCATCATATATTTAGTATAGAAATAATCGTAAATGTTTCTATGAACAATTGTACCACTTTTTATGACTTCATTTTATTCAGCGACAGCAAATGCGTGCTGTTTTCTTTCATTCGGTCGTGGCATCAATAATTTCTTTCATTTAATCAGCTCATACCACAATTTTCATTGTTTTCTAATAAGTGATGATGACGACGAGTGTTAGTATATCTTTTTCATTGGACAACAACAATTGTCACTTGTTTTCTTTCATTGCAGAATGACGATCATGAGCGTTAGTTTGCTCTCTTTTGTGATACAATGCCAAGCGCTACTTCACATTTATCACTAGAGAATCTTCTCAAACCTAAAAGTTTTCTTGTGTATGGCACTAATGTTCAGTTGTCTATACATCTACTAAATTACATATTATTATTTTATTGCCAATACTTTCAATTTTTGACTTATATTTTCAAAGCACTTTCATTCACACATTGAATCAATTTTTGATTTACATCTTCTATTTATTTTATATAAGTTTTTCATACATGCATTGGAAGAATCCCGTTACAACTTACATCATCAAAGCTTACTGCTTGAATTGTTTTGGATGTTTTTGTTCAATAGGCTTTATGTGCTTAGAAAGATTGTTAAGCATTCATTCACGTTCTTCATTAGAAAAATTTATGTGCAGTACCCAGTATATTGACGAAAAAATAATGTTGAGTCGTTATCATCGGGATAATTGGTTCAATAGAGAAGACTGTCGAATGATTTTTCTGAAACAATTGAGTAGGTCTCATCAAGAAACAGTGCATTAACACCTTATCACTTGAATCTTCGAGCATGTATGGCCATCTAATTGTTCGGCTATAGGCAATTGCCTTTATTCTAATAAAACCCGTGGGCAAGAAATTTTGGATTAGTGGTCTATTGTTCAATGTCTCACCACCTGACTACACCACTGTGTAGAACATTCAATGCTGACTTCAACACAAGTTTGTTAAAATTGATTGGCATAAAAACATTTCTTAATTAGACGAAATAACTATATTCATTAAATAATAAGCTATAATCATTATATTGACACTATGATCACAGGTGTATGTGATTTTGTACAAAAACATGTCAGTCATATTCATCCTATCCGGACTCACTTTGTTTCATAGCATGTCATGGGTGAAACCTTAAATTCAATCCATATTTTTCAATTATAAATCAGAATAGTACGGCATGACATATTTTGAATTTCACATTCATTCACTTGTTTTTATCTTACGGACAGGTTAAGACATAATCCGATCAAACATCAATCGTGTTCAAATGAGTTTTAAAAACTTTTATCAAAAAATGTAGGCTTTTTCGAAAATATCCAATCTCTTAATCTAACAATGGAAGTAATAATAAGCAATATTGTCATAAAATTTCGGGAAACTTACCAGTATCTTATAATTAATATATATTTATTAATAAGCTACTTTTGATGCTCTAAAAAAAGCATTAAAAATTTATATTAAGCTTTAAAAATTACTTGCATAGAAGAATTACGAAGACTATAACATATTATTTAAAATAGCTCAGAGGAAAGGGTCGATTTTATGTATTAGATTGGATTTTTTCGTTTTACAAGTAATGACAGGCCTACAATATCTATGGTCGCTAGTTCCTTTGGCACTAGACAACCATATCCTTACTTAGAACAATAGAATGACAATGAAAAATCATGAAGGAATGATAAGATTGATTTTGCATCATATTTCGCCTCGATATAAATACATTCATAATTAATACCATCAGCAAAGTGTTTAATTCTGCATTTCAAACATACTATCCATGGTATCAAATGAGTGTGAAAAAAAATCTACGAACGAATAACAGTAATAGAACAATAAGATATTTTCTTTTCAATCTATATTGACTTTACTATTTTGTCATTCTAATATAGTTGACTTCATATGAAGTTTCATTTTCTCAATTGTAAATGCACGATTTGTTTCTGAAGATTAAGTTAACTTTAGTCTAAATCACAAGCATCTAGTACTGCCCCAATACTAATACTCAGGATAATGACGGGCTACAGGCCAAAATATTCAAATGAGTAGTCATCTCAATACACTTATGGTTTACAATATAAATGCAGTTCAAGATTTTAAGTGCATTTCTTACATCAACATCGATACTTTCAATCTGACTGAGTGCACTAAAAAGTTCAGATTGAGTGTAAGCGTAAGATACGGATCTCTGTATGTGCATCAACAGAGCACCAATATCAGCATACTCAAAGCCATGCAAACATTGCTTTTTCGAAAGTTCAATTGGCATAAAACACAATGTTTATTGAATCATGTCCAATGCCCTACGCTTATATTATGATAAGAATGAAATTTGTAACAAAACTGAAACGACGCATAATAATGAGTTCTTTGCTGACAAATTTGAGTTAGTGACGGCATCTTTTCTCACTGAGAAAGTGTTTTTTTCCCAAGTCCATATGTACGTTTTTCTCTTGTCAGATGATCGTTCGATTCATGTATAAATATTGAGAAAACGTTTTCAAACAAAAGCCTACATGAATTTGTGGACGAAGGATGTCACCAAATCATTCCTTCGTCGTCATTTATCTCATAGAAAACGATGACTATGTCAAAATTTGTTGAAGAACTATGTTATTGTTTGTATATTGTCTTTGCTTGCATCGAAGTGTTTGACTCTTTTAAAAACAGGGCATTTTCATCATCAATGACAAATTGAAACATGATGCTTTCATTGATTAATGGACGAATGTAAAATATGATGTGTTTTTTTCAACATGTATTCTTTCATTTTTGTTTAATAAATATTCTTGATAAGAACGAAAAAAATCGTATTACACAATAATTATCAAACTGGACGATATTCAAAGTAATAATCATAACAAAGCATCATTTATCTAAATGACGGTTGCGAGCATCCGATATGTGGATCTATAATATTCTGCATACATTGTGAAGAATTATTCAATGCAATCAATTATGAATTGTTCAACTACTCGATTCACCTCATGAAATGCTTATTGAAATTTTCAATAAACTTACAAGTATCGATGTATTCTAATCGATGTTGGGTGTTAATGAACGACTTGATCGAATAGCAAGTGATAATATTTTCACTCGTTTTCTCCATTTAACAACTGAAACATTATTTTGTGAAGGGCATTTCATATCCAAAAGTGTACTTCATCGATTTTGTTCATTTATATTACAACAAATTCAGGACATCATTAAATCTCTTGCTCTTGAACCAATGTCTATAGAATGTATTCTACTTGCCTGTGACTGTCCTCAACTTTACAAACTAATATTAAACTCAATCGAACCCGAAGTTTTTTTATAAACTATTTAGCAAGTATGAAATGTTTTTAATCATTAAAAAACAATTCAGTTTTAGTACATCATTCTTTAATTTTTGTGTTATACAATTTATCTATTGTACATATTTTCAAAAAGATTACACATCTTGAAGTTACCACAACTGGATATTATAGCACAAAATCAGAAGTACTCTTAAATACAAGTGGTTATGGATGTTTTTTTTCTGTCTGTCAACATTTAACTCATTTGAATATTAGAGAAAATTATTTTCGTTTGAATCGATGGACACAACAATATGGTTTACCATGAATCATGTATTCATCATGGATCATAGTCGAATTAAATGTTAAAGTACGTACGATAGACGATTGTTTGCATCTGCAAGATGGTCGTTTCAATCAAATGAAGATTTTTATTGTTGACGTTAATTCTATTGAAGCTCCCTGATTGAACATTGATCATAAGATATGCTTCTTCATTGTTTTTATTTTCTAGATTGGTTTACCTAATTTGACAACATTTTCTTTTACTTCAACATCACCAGCAGAAGAATATGATAATTTGATAGTGTCAACGCTTCGAGAAATGTCGAACATAGAAAAACAAGACTTATATCTCCATGTTGAAAAACGACCAGAATTTATTGATAATGATGATCTCTATGGTGATATACTTATCTATATGCCATGAATAAATTTTTTTCTCAATATCACAACAATTGACGATTATGTCGACATCATTTATTGGTATAAATACAATGATATTGAAGATACATGTATTATTGATGATGGTCATCCTGATATTGATTGTCGTATTGATTATTTTACAAATGGTATTGGTCGATGTCGTATTTCTTCATATCCATTCATTAAATCATCTCTGTTGTATCATCATTAACAATTTTCGAGACTACTTCCAAAAAATGTATCTGATCTAGAAGTACATAGGGTGAGGGTGTGGGTTGATGTGAATGGGTTGTATGTGTGGTTGTCAGAATTTTCTTCAATATTACCCACACTCATGTTCACAATCTTTTGTTTCAGCATCAAGTTTACTCTACTAAGATGGATGTGAGTGGGTGTGGATGGATGTGGATGTGAGTGTTGATTTTCTCTTCATTCACACCAACCCACACCGACACCCATAACTGCCTATGTAAAAAAAAATATTCAAATATCATCCATTGAATCTGTGTTTGACGATACCAATAACACCACTGCTGACACACATGCATGCTCATTTGTTTGAAAGTTATTTTCACTATCTCGGCGCTTGAGTTCATCTGCGCCATTTACAATGTTTACATGATTAATTTAACATAGTTCAAAGTTCTTTCATATCTGCCGACAAAAATTGAGCGAAATTTATCGTTTGTGTATGTTGGAAATTTTCAACCACATAATTACGTGTGTGAATCATTCCCACTAGTATGCAGCTACATTAATTATTGCCATGCACACAAAAATATGTGATATAATCAATTCATCACGCTTGATATCGCTTTTAGACCGTGAGGAAAATTAGACAGGTATGATGTATGTACAAGTTGGAAATTTCCAACCACATAATTACTTCTACGAGTCGTATTCCCCAGACGTTCAGCTATACGGGATCTCAGGATTGTAAAATACCTGCGCTCCAGTTTGAGCGCTAGTTCGAGAAGTATCATGACTCTTCTCACAGAGAAGGGTGTGTGGGTGTGACTGTAGCTGCTGGTGTAAGGAGTATGCTTGTACGGGTGTGCGTGAAGGTGTATTAGATCTGGTTATCCAGAGCCACAACCGCACGCACACCCACATCCACACCCTAAAACTTGTGCGCTAGTCTTTATTTGATTGTTATATTTTTTTACTGAATTTGTTTTATTTTCTTATGCATGCAAGCATCATGTTGAGTTTGCACTTCTGATTCATCCAATTCTGTTTATCTGCTACCTGGACGAACAAATTAGTTGTCATTTCGTGTAGCAAAGGAAGAAACTTTATGCATCACTGAAATTATGTACTTGTATAAAAGAAACACATTCATCATATTAAATTCATTATATTTGATCAAACAAAGTGACACTCACAAATCCTTACGACGAAAGTAAGCAAGATCGAAAGCTAGAAACTAAATCCATTGAAAAATGAAGAGTAAGTGACGCGTATAAATAACTTCAAGGAAAACATACACACTTGTTAATAGACTCTCTCGAGTTCTCCAGACAAGGGTGTCTTTTAAGATGACTTTCCATATAGAATGAATTTTCATATTTTATGTTTATTTACTAAAGCTTTTATCAACATGGAATCTTTGTTTAGAGTTTCAGTGCATAGAAGTTTAATTCAGTCATAAAGCACTGCATCAGAATGGAAAGTTATAATAATGGTAAAGGAGTATATTATTATCTTAAGAGCATTAATCTCATTTTACCTCTAATATCAGCATAAAACTAGAAAAGTTGTTTACTGTGCATTGCTGCGTATTCTTTCTTCGTCTATTTTTTTGATTTGAGAATACTGGTTTGTCGGTAGGACTTGAAATAGCAAAAACAAGAGAAAAAATTGGAGTCTTCAAATTTTAGACCGTTTTGAGATTATATCGAATTATGATTCATCGTATGAGTCAGAATTTAAGTAGTGATGCTTCTGAAGAAACCGTATCTATATTATCTGAACGCGATCACACACTCTTAGTTACTTTTCTCCTTGAGTGAAAAAAATCATGGAAAATATGAGAAAATGATTATCATACTCTTAATAAGAGGATGTAAGTGTTCCTTACTCTAGATAATCGTGAACTCTATTAGTGTTCTTTATCTGATCATATCGAACATTTTTTCTCTATCGTCACAAACATCCCTTTAAGAATGAAGATAAAATTCGCTTCCAAGTGCTTCATCCTTATACAACTTCTGTTGTTTTCTATACGATGTATATCGAAAACAGAAACAACAGTAGAACTCAGTTGGCCAGTAAGTTCGTCCGTTGTCAAACTACTTGGCTTTTTTCCTCGACAAGCAGATGAAGAATCCAAAAATGATATGTGGACCATTCATTGTCGTTCAATGTTTAGAGCAGCTATTGTATTGTCTCAACAATACAATATAACATTTCAAGGACAATTTCTTACCTATGAAGAAATAATAACAGATGATGATATTATGGTTACAGTTGATCAGACATGTCAAAAAGTATTAGCATCTAACATAGTTGGATTCATTGGTCCAGCATATTCAAGTGAAGCACGATATCTTGCATCATTTGCATATCGATTAGGAATACTAAGTGTCTCATATTCAGCCACAAGTCCTGATTTATCAACCATTGACAATGGAGCATTTTATCGTGTAGTTCCATCAGATGAAAATACTGCGTTAAGTCTAACAATATTATTTAAACAATACAAATGGAAATCATGTATAATTATATATGAAAATGATGAATATGGTTATAATGGCATGAAATTATTGAGTCAAGAGTTTAGTGCAATGAATATTAAAACTTTAGAGAAAATCAAATTTGACATCAAACAACAAAATTTTGAAATTGATTTTAAAAAGACATTACTTGATAGTTCATCACGTATTGTAATTGTATGGGCTAATGAAAAGTCAACAATAACAATATTGGAAAAAGCAATTGAAGAAAATTTAATAGGTCCATATTTTGTTTGGATATTAACAACAACAATAGCATTGGATTATTTCAATCAAAGACAAAAGGAAGAACTAATTGGAATTCTTACTATTGAACCAGTTAAAGGAGATTTTGTTGATGTATTAATAAATGAAAAATTGTTAAATCAGGCATATCAAATATGGAAAGATTATGAACTAGATACATTTCCTGGTGAGAACAATGTGAGTAGTTATGGATTATTTACGTTTGATGCAACATGGTCATTAATATTATCGTTACAACAGCTTTGTTCAATGCAATCATTATGTTTAGAATTTACAAATGTTTCGAATTGTTATAATCGTCAATTTTTTAATTCAAAACAGTATTATAATATTATGAGAACCATGAAATTTTTAGGTGTATCTGGTCAAGTGACATTTTCTAATGAAACGACAGATCGTGTTGCTGATGTATATTATATTATTAAAAATATACAACCTTTAAATATAGAACAAAAGAATATTGATTATTTACCTGTATTAAAATGGCACATTGGTTCAACGAATTGGACATATTATAAAGATAAATCTGATGATATTATATGGCCAAATCTATCAAAAAATATTCCAGTAGATCACAAATTAATCCAAGGTAATCAAATATTTCTCTGTAACAAATTATTTATTTCGGAGAAATTCACTATTTTTTACAAAAATAGATTTTTGTAAAGTTTTGAAAATGACTTAATGAAGGATCGAAATGTTGAGATAAATTTAAATTATATATATAGATGACTTTGTCTGTACAAAAATCTATTCTTATTTACCTTTTGGATCTAAACTACGACAATATTCAATTTTTACAAAAATAAACTAGTCTGTTTCTCTACTTCTTAATCTGCTCTTTTTAGGTCAAGAATTACGAATGGCTATTATTCACTAACCACCATTTATAATATTGAAAAACTCAACTTCTACGTACAGTGACATGACAGACAACTATAAAATAATTGATATAACGGAATTCGATGGCTTGTTCAAAGAAATAATGTTATATTTAAAAGATCGAATGAGTTTTCGTCCTGTTATTATAATTGCTAAACCAACTATACAATACAATGAATTAGTTGATGGAGTAGCAAATCGTTTATTTGATACTGTCATGACTACTATAGCTATAAATGCAAAACGAAGTAAAATAGTTGATTTTTCTGCAGCTATTTTTCCTCGTTCTTATAGAATTGTTACAAGAAAACCAAAATCTAGTCAATTAAATTTTCTTTTTTTCTTAAAACCATTTTCATGGACACTCTGGCTACTTATATTGGGTACAGTATTTTATGCTAGTATATTAATATGGTTTTTTCAGCCAAAAAACGCTGACACGCAGGGTAATGATAAAGAATATTTAACAATAGAACAAAGTATTAGTTATACAATCTGTATTATACTTGGTAAAGGTCCTTTTTTCAATGTATCCACACGTGCTGGACGATTTCTTACATATGGTTTACATGCTTTACAAATAATATTACTAGCAATATATACAGCTAGTTTACTCGCATCTATAATAATTGAAAACTTTAAACCTACTATATCAGGAATAGATGATATAAGAAATGGTAAAATATTACCAAATCGAATAGGAATTCTGGTTGGTTCGCAAGCAGAGGAGTATTATTTAAATTCTATATCACAAGATAAAAAAGATTATTATCCATTAAAGACAGCGAATGAAGTTTATACAAGTTTAATCGACGGTGATATTGATGTTGCTATATGGAGTAATGGATCGACTGAATATCATGTAAACAATATATATTGTGATTTAATGACTGTGGGTGTTGAATTTGCTCATGGCTCATATCAAATACCAGTAAGACAAGATTGGGTATATAAAACAGATTTAGATTTTAATATATTGTCGTTAATTGAATCAGAAGAACTTGATCGAATATCAGCAAAATGGTTTGGACAACGTACCTGTAGTAAAACAAATTTATTTGAACCAAAGATAATTACAGTACAAATAATGGGCGGATTATTTATTACATTTCTTATTATCAGTATTATATCCATTTTAATACATTTTTGGTCAGGAACGGGTTGGTTAAAAAGAATCATAACCGATATCATACACCGAAGAGATGACATAAATAGAGAAGTGATTGCAGATAATATTGAAATCGAAAACTAGGACAACGCATTGCGAAAGATGCTTATTAAATCTTATCAATTGCTAGTGATTTAAAGAATCGTCAAAAAGAAATATGCATATCATACCTATATCTTTGTTAGCATACTTCAAAGAGAAAACCAATAAAAAGGAGAAAAAGAGAAGAGAAAAGCTATCACAGTTATTTAACTATTATCTTGATGAGATCCGAGTGAGGGTATGATTTTTAAATAAACTCAACAAATTTAATAACAATCAGATATATATTAATAAGTATGTCCTGTCGAAAGTAATCCATTTTAGTTTCTTCAAAATTTGCTCATGGCTCATATCAAATACCAGTAAGACGAGATTGGGTATATAAAGAAGATTTAGATTTTAA